GCCCCCCCCCCCCCAATACAGCAGTGATATACAGATCAGAGGAAGGAACCACAGTACTTGGCAGGGGGGTATGGACATCTGACACTCCTGGAAGTGCTGAATGCTGAGGCTGCAGTACTGGACAGAGGGGAGGTAGGATACACAGGCCACCGGAGAGGTGACAATACCTTTTCTCTTATAGGAGCTTAGCATTTCAATGCCAGAGGCCCTACGGAGCATCTTTAAGCCACATAAAAACACATGTAAGATGCATAGACTGGTCCCTGTAAGACCAAGCTGTATATAAACTCATCTGACAGCTTACTGGAAGTTACTCTTTTCTTATGGGGAAGGAACACATACGTTCGCTGACATCACCTTTATTTTAGAGTATAACTCTGCCAAGGTCAACCAATGCAGTGACAGGACTTTCCTGGTATTCTGCTGATTTACTGCAGCGCTGACACAAGGATTTTCAGAGAAGAGTGAATATACATTCCGTCTCTGGCATTTCCTAAAATAACAGTTTTACTTCCTGTTACCAAACCGGTTCTACAAGAGCTGAATGGGGGAACCTGGACCCTCTCTTGCTGCTTAGTCTCAAAGTGGAACGTTACCCCCTATGACTAGAAATCATATCATCATAGAGCTCTGCGTGCCCATATGAAATCATCTTCCATTCATTAAATATGTTTTAATTACAATTTTTTTTCCCACTTCCTGGTGCACTTTGACACAAACGCGGGGTCACATGGGTGGAGCTGAGAACACGAGAATAGAAATTTCACCCAGATTTGCTATGAGAAAAAAAAATCAGCGTGGAATTCCATCTGTTATCTTCTGAAACCTATATCCTGGGCCATTCTCTCTACATATTCATGTAGAAGCTCATGAGAAACAATGCAACAAACAAAAAAAAAAAGGATCTTGAAAATCTGAGACATTTCCCAACACAGAAATCTCCACAACGTGGCCTGGGGCCGTCCCGGGGAATGGGGGATCGTTTGTAGTTATACTGTGAACATGATAGAGAACCGGC